TAATAGTAGTGGTTAATGTAGCCTGGATGAGGAGAGTTTTACAGAGGTCTGGTAAATTCACTCCACACACGTTTTTTTTTTTAATTTAAGCAGTAGTATTCCCCATGCAAGAATAAGAAAAGCAAGAACTTTTGTTTCTTATGTGTAACAATATAAACATTTGTCACTGCTATTCAGCCTGTCTAATTGGATGCATCATAATTCATACAGACGTATTTGGAAATACATCCAGCTAATTCATCTAATCTGAAGATGTATTTCAAGGTTACCAGCTATCAAAAACTATGTCTCAGCTTATCGTATAGTATTTCTGCTTTATTAGATTGTACCCAGCAGAGAGTGACAGGTAACATGGGCAGAGATGACAGGCGGGTAAGATCATCAGCTGAATTTAAAGCTTTGACGTCATGAACACACAGCACAAGCTGATAGAATCACCTTAGATCTTCTGATGGACTTGAACACAAAAGATTTAAGCGAGCGTGCGTGTATGTGTTCTCAGTATTTAAACAAAAAAAACTCAAACAATTTGAGCAGTCAGTAAAAATCATCAGGCAGATATTTTTTATTCAGTACAGCAACAAAATAAAAAATGAAGCTGTTCCTCATTAGTATGTTCTCCCAAATGGAAACTCATTTCACATTTCTAATGGGAAGAGTGTGCCTATGATTGATGATTTGTGTGCTTAATGGACACGTGAGACACACTATGCACTGTAAAAAAAAAAGATAAGTTCATTTAACTCCAAAGATTGTTGAAACTAAATGAATTTTGTCACTTAAAAAACATTCTTTACTCTTGTTTTTACAGTCCAAATGAATATGACAAAATTAAGTTAGTGTCACTTAAAATTACTAAAGCTACTTGATCAAGAATGTTTTTTATTTTTTGAGTTAAAAAACTTACGGCATTGTTAGATTATAAAATTTGGTATTTGTTGTGATTTGCCCTCCCAAGTTGTGATACCATGACCAAATGACCAAAAAGCTAAAACAGCTAAACCAAAATGCCGCAAGACATAGAAGGCCAGCTCGCCAACTGTCTGCAGCCTTTTATTTCACAAAGCTCTCACCAGTGAATAAAAGCCACGCATACCATTGTGTGTGCACACTAACCTGCCTGCTCTTCAACTCCTGCAGAAGACTCTGAGGGTTCACAACCTAAAGCCAGAATTAAACATTATCATTTGCAGCTTGCTTGCTTTGGTTGTTCCACAAGCTAAAAATAAAGGTCATTATCAACTGTCTGCCTGCCTAAGTGTGCTGCATTTGGGTCCTAAACTGACCCGTTACAATTTATTAGGTTGGGAAAACTTTTTTTTTAGAATGTAAAAGTTTGAGTTTGACGTGCAACTTAAAATAATAGTGAAGACAGCCTTTAAATTATTAATACATTTTTTTTTTTTAACTTTGTGCACACCATCAGATTTGCCAACGCCTTAAGTATTAAAGTTTACTTCTGGCATATTTTCATAGTGAGAGCAAACAGTTTCAACTAATCCTTCAATTGATTTCTGCAAAGGCAATGTTCTCCTCTTCATGCTTGTTCATGTAGCTTATATATGTAACTCTGGATGGATCATTCATTCACTGTTCTCAGACAGAGATATATCTCCCTGGGGTCCATATCAGACTCTTAAAAACTCTACATTTTTACATTTTAGATAAAACAGATCTTCATCAAACTGTGCTCTGCTTCCATCGTGAGCAGCCAGTAGAGTCGTTACAGAGCTGTAGTTCCAACAGCTGCACTGCATGATAAAATAGTTCGCATTCTATAATTTGCTTTTGTTCTTAGTTTAAAGGTCCAGTGTATAAGATTTAGATCTATTGGCAGAAATGGAATATATAATTTGATTTATATAAGTATACAATCACCTGAATATAAGAATTATGTTACTGTTACTATTTATATTCACAGATGGAGCAGGACTCCTATGGAGTACGTCATGTTGAACCGCCAGGTTTCTACAGAAGCCCAGAAGGACAAACCACACACTGGCTCTAGATAGTGCTGTCTGCGGTATTGTCGCTTTGTGCATGGAATGGAAGACTGAAGCAGGGAGTTGCAATATGCAACTATACCGCTAGTTCTGACAGTTTTTACTGTAAAAATAACAGTGTAAACTTTTTTCATTAAGCATTCTCCAACCTATAGATAGAGCATCAAAAAGAACCTTTTAATGGTCCAAACTGACCTGCATTTATCTATAACTTTAAACTCAAAGAACATTAATGCGCAGCATGAGAATATATATATATATATACTCTTAAGCAAAAAATGGCATCTCTCACCCTTTGTGCAGCAGTATCTCAGTGTGTAGGGACTTAGCTTGGGAACCGGAGGGTTGCTGGTTCAAGTCCCACAGACCACAATATGGAGAGGTGCCAGTTTCACCTCCTGTGCACTGCCGAGGTGCCTTTGAGCAAGGCAACCTAAAAACTGCTCATGGGGCACTGCTAACGTGGCAGCCCATCACTCCAACATCTGTGTGTGTGTAATAAAAGAGTGGAAAGAACAATTTCTTCTTCTTCTTTACCCTAACTGTGAAACAACCATAATTCCAGACTTGAGCCTACCAGTCTGGATGGGCTGCCTTAAATCTAAAACACAAATGTCTTTCAGTTGTACATATTAACTACGAATTTAACATTTCACATGTACACCACTATTAACTGCAATGTGATGGTTTATTTATTAAACCTTTAAAATTAATTATTTAATCAGATCCCAAACATCATGAGAACTATAGTGAAGATGGAAAAAATCACAACTAAATCATAATACATGCATGAAAGTGAGGACACACTTTGCTTTTTGCACACTGCTTTTTTTAATAATATGCACCACCACCCAACAACAGGATGAAAAAAGAAACCATTAGGAGATCTAGGAGAAAATGAGCTTGGAGGAGGGTGTTTGCCCTCCTTTTTTATTTTTTCTATTTTAAGAGTTCTTAAGATCAGAGCTTTCTGTGGTACCAGCCTCAGAGGAAGGCAGTGTGACTTTCGACAGTTTGAAGGGTAACTGGGTCCTCGCTGCCTCCTGCTAGCTCCCACTGCCTCTGTAATTGGTCCAGTGAGAAGTCTACTGGGAGGAGCAGGAGGGCATTTACTGGAGCACAACTCACCCCAGGGCTTCTTCACAGGAAAAAAAAGCCCTCCATGCCACTTTGCAAAGAGTCCCCCCACTAGCCAACAGGCTCCAGACCTTTTGTGGTGATAATCTCCCACAGACAGGTGTGTGCCACATTCATGTACAAACACATGCATAGAGAAACAAAAACAGACACTAAGATACTGTACATTGTGTCCATAATCATCCACATCATGCATTGTGTTTTTTTATATCTTACCCCATACATTCTACAGCAAATGGACATACACATAAACTCAATTATGCACACATTCTGAAGGTTAAATACACACCTGCACATACAGAATACACACATGCAGCGGTCATCTGCTAATAACACACACAAATTAAAACTGGTATGCACACACAGTAGCAATTTAAACTCATGCATATGGCATGTGGCTGTCCACACACACACACACACACACACACATATTTTTGCTCCCCCACACCGGGCACAAATGTGTCTAGCCAGCAGGACATCACGGTCCATACAGTTGATCAGTGTCCAAGAAGGATAAATAAATAAAGCGAAACAATTGGAAGCTCAGGCTTTCATCCTCAGCCTCTTGGTAATTTTACCCCAGCCAGCATTGCCAGTATAACTCTGTGTCCTGCTGCAGTGGGTAAGCTGATATCCCTTCTGGATCTTACATTGTAACAAAATTCTTTGTTTCAGGCTTATTAATCGTGTCACCTGCAACTGAAGGGCTGTGTGTGTGTATGTGTACCTCTGTGTTAGGATTGCTGTACATTTTCACAATTTACGCTCATATATCTTATTCATATTACATTTGCACTGTAACATTGTACAGTATACTATTTCATTGCATTGCACAAATTGTCAACAACAACATGACAATGTCATGTCTGTCAGATGTACAGGGGTTTGCACAGACATTTCTAGGGCCTGTTGCACTAACCTGAAAGAATAACCCTAACCCTGCTGTCTATACGTTACCCACATAGCTAATATTGGTTAATTTGATAGCATAATATGAAAGCAATATTGTGTATCCCTAACGCTAACCCAAATCCTCAACACCAAGTTTGGATGCTACAGTGTCACGTAATAGGCCTTCCGTCAACTTTTTTTTGTTAAAGCTATAGGCTGCCCCATCTCACTGTACTCATAACTCATAATTTAAAGGCAGGTGTCTTCACTATTAAACTAAAGATTTAAGTCAAAATCTAACTTTTCAAGTTTTTAAATAAACTAAAAAGGTTTTTTACCAATCTAATAATCACCTGCTGTTTCTTCTTTAGAAAAACTTAAATCTTTAAGTTTCAGAAACAAAAAAAGTGTATTTAAAAAATGTGAAAACAGTTAAATATTTAATATTTTCAATTGCAATGATTTAATTTTCAAACACTGAACAAATTTAAATATTTTTTTTTCTCTTGTTTTGTTTCTACAATTTATATATATATATGTTTTTCTAAAGAAGAAAAGTAATTTACCTCAACAAAAGTTTGTAATTAGGTCGGCAAAACTTTATTAGTTCTGAACTTAAAAGTTCGAATTCGATTTAAAACCCCCAAATTTAGTTTTTTCTCAACTGTTTCTTCTACAGTGCATGTCCTGCAGAGGCACGCCTATTAAAAAGTTACAGAGCTGCAGTCCTAACATTGCTTGGAAGTGTATGTGAAGATTTGTATTCATTGGGCATCCCATTGGTTAAACCATTGATCATTAATCATTTTCACAAGTACAAAAGACTCGGATGACAGTTTGGATGACATAGCAATTTAATTTGGTCTAACTTTAGCAATTATGGCATACTTGTATTTATGCAGCCACAACAGTAAAAAAAAAATTCATATCTGATGCAGTAAACAGTAATCTTGGTCTGTTTCTTTATAGTTTTGCTGGGTGTACTGACAACATGTGCCCAAACTGAGATGAAGAAGGTTGTTGGAGACAATGCCACGATGCCCTGCCACCATCAGTTCTGGGTGGGTGATGACCCCACTCTGGACATTGAGTGGCTGCTTCTGAAGCCCACCAACAGGCAGAGAGTGGTGAGTGTCTCTCCATGCCAGTGGTTCAATGTTAAATCAAGCAGCACAGAGTAAGAAAAAAAAGCAGCTCTGATCTTTGATTTGTTGTCAATTATTGAACATGTTAAAGAATATTTTACCTAAATATCCTTTAATACAGTTATTTGCTTAAGAGAGCAGCCTTCTGAGTCATATTAGTGCTAAATCAAATAGAAAAGGTATATTTAAGTGAACAAACACACATCCTCTCTCTACAGATATTATTGCTAGTTGTCATTGACTAGTTCCACATTGTTGCACTTGCTGTTTGTGTTTTACCTTGTTTACCCCATCACAAACCCACACACCCATTTTACTTCCCCGACCAGGTGATTACCTACTTCGCTGGACGGGTTTTCGACCCCAATGAAGCAGAGCGTGGCCGCGTAGCCTTCGCTGGAGAGTACTTAAAAGGCGATGCTTCTCTGCTGATCAGCGACTTGTCTCTGACAGACTCAGGAGAGTACAGCTGCAAAGTCAAGACTGGTGCACAGTACCACTGGAGCACCATCAGCCTCATAGTGCTGGGTAAGTGGCAGACAGCACTTAGGTTCAATAAGAAAAAACACAGACCGAGAGAGGACTCACGAGAACACTGTGCAACTGGAGGTGTCATGAAACCCCAAAGCTGTTAGCATTAAAGCTGTTATTGAATGTAGTGCAGCATACTGTGGTACCTTGAATGACCAAGGTGTGTGTTCGGACCAATGATTTCACTTGTGGAGCTTTCATCCACTTACTCTGTTGGGGTAGAATATGACAGAGTAAAAATGGAGTGAGTTGTAGCTCTCATCCTCCGTGATTTGTGTGCAGTGTTGGCTCAGATTACTTTGAAAAGTTTGTGAGTTACTGAATACAATCTACATGGTAGTCTTTGCAATTATTAACGTGATCCATTACAAAAATGTAATCTAATCTATATACTTTTGGATTCCTTTTGGACTACTTCAAAATCTAACATTGAAAATAATTCTTTATACTAAAGAAATGGACACAGCCACAAAATTACGCAAATATTATTTTTTCTCTTTAAACAATAAAAATACATGTCTCACTTACATTTGGTTAAGTTATATAACACTGTATGCCTTCTGTGATTATTTATCCACTTTTCCATGTTGAAAGCCATTGTTGTTGTTGGCATGGTTGTTAGTGGTCCACTGGCAATCCCAAGATGCCTTAGCTTGAGTCTCTTGACCATTCAGAGGCTGTGGCTAGAAATTAATCCAACACAGAAGTACCAGAAACTGCAGTTCCTCTAATGGTCACTTGAGGCTGGCTCCAGCAGTGAGTCAATCTCCATAAGGCCGATATTAAAATGCCCAACTTTACAGCAGAAATAAACATGGTTACAGCCTGGTACAAAAAACTGTTCTGGTCACCATAACTAATTTCCCCGTTTGCTGACAGCTGAAGGGGGGTGATTTTTTATACTCACCTGTTATAATATAATATATATATAATATAATAATAATAATAATAATAATAAATATTAAGGGCTTCACAATGGGTTTCAGGGAAAGGTCCATTTTTAATTATACAGTCTGTGGTATGGCAGCTCTGATCTAAAATGCATTGTACAATTTAATAACATGAGACTGAGTCCATGTCAAGATCTATAGAGATTTATAGAGCATTGGTTATCGTGAAAAAAGTTTGCCATATTTTGAAGTTGTAATCAAAAATGTAATCCCTGACAATCTGAATATAATATAATTACATATTTTTTCAAATGTAATCTTGGCTGATTATAGTTACTTATTTTTGTAATCTGATTACATAATCCATATAATATGTAAACAGTTACTGTACACAACAGTACACTCGTCTGTATGTGTTTTAAATAGATGAAATAGGATAAATATGCACAAGACAAGAACATGTCAGTTAGTATTTCTACACCTCCCTGGCCAAAGCTCATTGCTCTTTAGGCATATGATATTTCTTTACAGTGCAATGTTAGTGCAGCAACATGTTGAAATTCAGTATGAAGACCCCTCCCTCCATCAGACTCTCACAATCTGTTGGTATTAAATCTGTAAAGGATAGCAGCACATCTATAATGCATACAGTTCCACAAGAAGAGCAAGCGCCTCTTTACTATCCAATACATCACTGGCATAAACAAACCCCAGCAGACTTTAGTACCCCTTTTTAAATTATTTATTGCTTCCTCTTCCAGTCTACTAAAGCCACATCATTTCCCAGAGGCATCTGGACCTTCACACATTAAGCATCAAGTCAGTTCTTACAGCAGTGTAATTCCACTCCCTGCTCCAGTAGAGTGATCATCATGACTTGCTTGTGGCATACCTTTCAGAGTAAACCAACCCTGTTGACCAAAGATAATACTTGTAGAATGAGAAATTGATCACGTTCACATTTCATGCACAATGGACCACTACTTAAACAGTCCATCCTGTTCATTTAGTATGAGATAGAAATTCTAAATTTTATTTTAGAAGTACAACTGGCAACTCTAATAAAGTTCAGCAGCCTCTGCAGTGCTTTACATGAAATCTGCCTCCACTTTATTAGGCATGATTCAGACATTTACAGAGGCAGTAAATGCTGTGTCAGTCAAATTACCAGTAGGCTATTCTGAGCAGTGACGCGGGAGACAGCCAATGAAATCACTATGCTGATTAAATGTGAGAAATGTCAGAGTGGGTTTAATGTCTATGAACAAATAAAGAATAGATCATTGAAGGCATGGCAGGATGTTAAAGGAAAGCTACAAAACTGTGGAGGATGATGGTCTCTAACCCAAAAAATGTTGTAAGAGCTCAAGATATAAGTGGTCGATTGCAGAACATACAAGGTTCACAACTTTCCTACAATGAAGACATCCTCCCTAAATTTACTTTTAGGTTTAGAGAACCCCCTTTTAGCCTGTGTGTTCTATATTTCATCCATAACTGACTGTTTGCTTGACAGGCTAATGCCATGCATAGCCTATGCTCTTTCTTTTTTTGAAACACATGGACACCAACCACTGGCACAGCCAGAGATGTTGCCAGTGCCAGAGATTTCTTGCCAAGCTTGACACCTTGGCAAGAAATTACCCTGCATGGAAGCACATCTCATACTTGTATGTAAGATAAAATTGACAATACTCTTTAGCTCGGTTTTGCTGTCATTTTATGGAATTACCTTCAGTACACCTCTCTGAAACCCACTTTCTAGAAACAACGATTAGTTGTTACAAAGGGAAAGTGGACAGTAGAGTTTGTGCAGCAACATGTTGAAATTCAGTTGGAAGACCACTCCCTCAATAAGACTCTCAGTGCTTTTACAATCTGTTGGTATAAAATCTGTAAAGGATAGCAGTACATCTATAATGCATACAGTTCCATATAGGAAGAGCAAGCACCTCTTTACTATCCAGTAATATCAGTGAAATAAACAAACCCCAGCAGACTGTAGTACCCCTTTTTAAATTATTTATTGCTTTCTAGTGCACACCATGTCCTGCAGCACACACTGGGGTGAAGCAGGGTTAGGGTTAGCCTTACTGTCAGTATCCTATTTGGGACTGAACTAATGTTATCCTGTAAAGAGCATCATATTCAGGGGGTGAGGAAACAGCATGTAAGTAAATCTGTCTTTGTATCTGACTGTCTATCCGCAGAGAAACCATCCAAGCCACGGTGCTGGATGGAGGGCAAACTGTTGGAGGGTGGTGATGTTAAGATGAGCTGTAAGTCTGCTGATGGCTCTGATCCCATCCACTACAAATGGGAGAGGGTACTGGACAAGGGAAAATATGCTGGCAAGCTGCCTCCACTGGCCCTGATAGGTAAGTCCACTCACACACTGCAGTATGTGTCTGCCATGTATGAATACTGAGAATTTTATTTTCATACCATTACAAAGTTCAGGTACCACTTTATTCGGATACTCTGCCTATATACAGTTTGTATTTGTAACATTTCAATAGTGTAGTAGCTAAGATTCAACAATTGTTTTCTGATACCGCACCACTGTGGTTAAGGTATTGTTACTTTGGTGAAACAGCTGAAATGTTACAATACAAAACACATCTGTAGGTGAACTATCCAAATAGGTGTGAGCAAATTTTAAAATCTGAAAGTCCAATAACATCCAGTCTATAGAAGATCACAATATAGGTCATGAACACATCTATGTCCTGTTTTGTCTTTGTTGGTACTATCAGATTTGAAAAACCCAGAGATTGTGACATTGAGGAACTTGACCAAGGACAGCACCGGGGTCTACAAATGCACAGCCAGCAATGATGTGGGGGAAGAGAGCTGCACAGTGGAGGTCAAGATGCACTGTGAGTGGAAAACAAAAAATCACAAAACTAAGATCTTTAGATTATGAACAGAATGCTGCTGTCTCACAGAAATCTCACCCATGAATGATTTTCACACATGTTACAGGTACCCGCTGGCACCACGTAAACAGCTTATATGCTCTTTCTGGAAACAGGAGAAATAAGTGAGACAGGGCAAACTCTGCATCCATTTTTCATCTCGCTCAGCAGAAAGAGGAGAGAGGATTTATTAAAACATTCACCATTTTAAATACTACTCTGTTACGAACACTCAATGTTCTCAATGAAATAAACACGACTTCAAAATAAAATACAATTTGTCTTTCCTCATCTTTCAGCAAATACTGAGTTATAAGTTTTGTGAGATTAAATAAATCAAAATGACAATAACCACTGTTACCCTGCAAGTTGTCTCTTTTCAACTTACATATAAAACATAGCTTATGTTACCACTTACATATGGTTCCTAAATGCATTTTCCATTTCCAACTAAAATCATTTTACTCTTCCATAATGCATGAGCTGACAGATTTTTAACTTGTTTTTAACCCCTTTTAAAATATATAAAAATGTGCTTTTAACATTAGCTTCTAACTGTTTTACAGTACATGAGCTCAGTTTTTAACAGTTTACACAATATCATACATTTCAAAACTATTACACTTGACAAAAATGTTCAAGGAGCTAAAAATAAAACTCTGACCGACGTGACTTAGGTAGCAACACGTGATGTCATCAGGCGTGAAACCGCAGCTACTGCTATATGTACATATATGTGCTCATATTCATAAAACAGCCTTATTAGCAGACATTAAAACATTCAGTGACATGTCAACGTATTACACTTCAGTTACTTAGCTTAATTTACTTAATAAGTGAGACAGGGCAAACTCTGCGTCCGTTTTTCATCTCACTCAGCAGAAAGAGGAAAGCTGTAAAGCGGACCAAACTGACATAAAGCCCCCCGGAACACAATAAGCGCCGCGCTGCCCCATGCTGGTGACCCCACAGCTATATAAAAAGTTTTGTGCAAGGATGGTGGAAACAGGTTAGTTACCCCTGAACAAATATTCAAAACATTAATTATAAAATTACAGAAACTACCACAAATGTGATAACACTTTAGTGGGCATCTCACACACACACACACACACTACCTGTAGTCCTATGGTGTTGTTAATGTTTTATCAATTAACTGTAATACATTGGTGTCCGACCAATAATACTCATACTTGCAAGATAAGGCTGTAAATATTATATATTTTCATAAAAAGACAAACCACCAATGTATTAAATGGTCTCTCAACATTTTCTGACTTACCCTTCACAAATATATTGTTTCCTTTTTAAAAAGGCTCAGTAAGGCTCCTCCTAGTGCTCCTAATGGCTTTTGCAAGAATCCACCGCCCTGAACGAAAACAACCAATCAGCCAAGAAAGATAGTTGATTGTCTCATTCCCAGGGTGTCAAATTCAGACACTTTGGGACCCTGGGAATAAAACTTAACAATCAATCTTCAAGCCTCCAACCCAAAGTCTCTTCATGGCTCCAATTGGTTGTTTTCGTCCAGGCCCGGTGGATTCTTGAAATGCCATAGGAGGACTAGTACGATCCAGAGGAACCTTATATTTTCAAAGATTTTCTGTTTCATGTACTGTCAGAACACAGTGAAAATTTCTGCAATAATGACAAAAAGTTATTTTTATATGAGTTACCTCCAGCAGCTTTAATTATTTATTTTCTCTATGAAGGTATTTCTCTCTTTATGCTGCTTTAACAACCGGATTGCTGCTTTAATCCCCCTCTGGGATGTACATAAAGGGTTATCTTATCCTATCAATGAAGGCAGGATTTTAGAAAATAAAGCACATCCAAATTAAAGTAACTCACGTGGGATTCGATGGGACATGAGGTACAACCTTTGAAAGTGTGGAAAAGTTGTAGTATTCACAGACACACATCATTTAGAATTATTTTACTCTGTAATATCATTAAAAGAATACAAAAGAAAATGTGTTTCTTAATATCTCTATAATAGCTGTTTGTGTGTTTTGTCATTTCTGTGTGTTCTGTGTAGATGTAAGAGGAATGGGTGTGGTAGCAGGGGCAGTGGTTGGTGTGTCATTCGGAGTCCTCCTCATCATCCTCATCATCTGGTTGGTGTTCCGCAAAAAGGAGATGAAGAAATATGAAGAAGAAGAGACCCCAAACGAAATCAGGTATTCAGTGGTCAGAACCCCAACTTGAATTCTTATAGCCACAATAAAGAAAGGAAACTGAAAGCAGTGGCTGTCACTATATAAAGTACCATCTTCAGAAGTTAATCCTGGTCTCAGACTCCCAACTCACTTAGCACTAATATCATCAAAGTACATTTGAAGCAGTGAACTGTAGAATACCCCCCTCTGAACCCAACAATGCTTCAGAAGTAGGAAACCAGAATTTCAAAGGGATGATTCCCTAAATGAATGTTTGAAATGCTGGCCCTATTTGTTGCCACAGCTTAATTTTTCTGTTCACTTATTAGTTGTACCGCTTTTTCATCTGAAAAACAAACGTATACGCTTAAACACTGTTTAAACTCTACAGTCTCTGCATTTCTACATAGCCGTAGCCTGACAGTCCACCACAGACAGCGGAGAGTTAGCCTTTCTGCGCTGCTACATTTGCTAATGTTACAATACAGGTACCACACAGAAAAACGACTCTGAATGTGCTTCAGGTGACTGTAAAAGCTCCAGCGGACTCTGTCAGCAGCTGCTCATGGCTGGTTAGCTTAGTTAGCTCTGAACCACTAGCTGAGCTAATGTTACCAAACAAGCTCTGACTACAGCTGTATTCCTGCTACACCGAGCAGTAGTCAGTCTGTCACTCTGGTCGCTGTTGCCTCACACTCCTGTGCCACAAGCCACGCCGCCTATATGGTTTTCATGTGCAGCCCTCTGCTGCATTTTTTACATTTGCTGCTTGGGAGAGAGCTAGCAGAATTTAGGCGTTTAGTTAAACTTTAAGCATTCATACTGTTAGCAATTTGTAAGTGTCAGGATGAATAAGGCAGGCTGATGGGGATTTATCAATGTAACCAGGGACAGAGAGAGAAAGAGGATTGAAAGCAAACATACATTGGTTGTCTTCGGCTTAGTAGTACAAACATAACTTGAGCCTTTGTATGTTTACTGGATATGGAATTTAAGAGAAATATCCACTTTACTCAAATGTTATTTGACTTTATTGGTAATTCTTTGCCTAGGACAATTTTAGTTTCACTCTCTTGTTTGATGTTTATTTCATCTACTGAGAGCACTCATTGAAATCATGCATCCATGTGCTCATTTCAGGGAGGATGCAGAGGCTCCCAAAGCCAAACTGGTGAAGCCCAACTCCCTCTCCTCATCACGCTCTGGAAGCTCTCGCTCAGGCACCTCTTCCACCCAGTCCATGGTGCACAACATGGGACCCCGAGGCCAACGACCCTGTGTTCCGGCTGTGGCAGCCCTCAAGGAAAACTGCCAAGCCTCCACCTTCCCTCAGTCTCCACCTAGCTACAATCAAACAGTTCCCAAGACTCCTGAACCCCGTTCTACACCCACCTCTACGTCTACCTCCAGCTCCAAGCCCAGTCCTCCACCTAAACTGAGTCCTGGGAACTTGACCCGCATGGGGGCCACTCCTGTCATGATTCCTGCCCAAACCAAGGCCTTCCAGACTGTGTAGAAGAGATGTAATCACAAAGAGAACAAGACCAAGGCAGCCTCAGGACATGGCAACCAGCTGAACACACGAGTTGGACTTTGATAAAGATCCAGTTATATTATCTAGATATAGTATCATCACTCACATTCTGATGGATACTTTCAGCAACTGAACTCTGCTTTACATTAACAATATAGGGACAAGCTTCTTCTGGTGTTGTTTATTGACACGCTGTGACCTGAGCAACACTTGTGATGAAGGAAGTGTTTTATGGAGTGTGAGTTTAAAAGGCAAGGAGGTGAAAGGAACAGGATTGCATGAACCAAGGAGTGAACAGGATGAGATGAAGTCGGAAGCATGAGCCAGACATTGGACAAAATAAGGACATTAACTTCATTATCTTTGAAGAAGACAACATACTGCTCACGGGGTACAGCTGAAGAGGTTAGAGTAGTTCACAATTTTTCCTGTCTTGAACACCTTCCTACATACAATGCACCACTTTACAATGGAAGCCCTGAAAGGCAAGCAATATTTTTAAATATGTTTTTTTCCACCTGTACAGGTTTTAAAACAAAACATTTTCATTTTGACAAATTATCAAGCAAAAACATGTTTTATATTTAGAAAAATTACCTCAATTTGCCGTTTTTTCTGTGAAAGCAGGTGCATTTTTTTCCAAGTTAAAATAAAATAACTTGCCTATCAGGGCTTCTGTACACCTGTTGCAAATTCAAATACCCTGCACCTATAACTGAACTGATGAAAGTAGCTCTAGGTTGTTACAGTAGGTTGTTACAGTATATAAATGGGATGAATGGCTCTGATTGTATAAACAGACTTCATGTGGACATTTCATATATTCACCGGTACCTGTGTCACTCGCTGTAACATGGACATATATGATACTGAATTCTGAAAAATACTGAAGAATAGCGAACCTGTAGATGTGCACAAATTCCCATTTCCAGTAGTTTAAGTGTGGAACTATATAAGTAACTTCCTGTTCATACTATTCATTCCCGACATGTCAAGGTTTGAAGAAAATTCAGAGAAGGGATTTTTTGTGAGATTTCTTTTACAGGACCTTGGAGCGCTGATATTTTTGATTGTTACGGGGTTAAGCAGAGGCCCTATTGAGAAAGTGCCACGTTGTGATGTTTTACACTTTATTTGTTTCTTTTATCCTGTTCTGTGTATACTATACCTTTTTTTTAATCAAAGAATGAAAAACTGAATGAATGTGATGCTAAATGAGATGTGTTATGTGCAGTGTTTTTTCTCAGCAATGTTAAAATGTTTGTTTTGAATTTAAATGAGTTGATAACTCATTGAATAACTTACACACTATAGAGAGAAAATCCTGTCACCTTATGCACTCTTGATACATTAGAACTGTAATATATTAATAAACCCTAAAGAGTGCCTTTGGTCATATATGTACATGCCGAGTGTAATGATCAAGCATATACACATTAGGAGCATAACAGTAATCAAAGTTAATGTAAGTTTATAGGGAGAGCTCCATTTATATCTGACTTACTGCATACCAGCCATAGCCGACAGACAGACAGACAGACAGAAAGATGCCGAGAACAGAATGAATCCTGCCCTTGTGCCTCATCTCCCATTCAGCAGAGGACAAACCTGATCCTTCTCCATTCCCCATTCTTCAATCCCATTCCTTCCCTTCAATACATAATCTGCCTCTTATCCCTTTTCCTCTTTCAACTTGTCTTGTAAATCTCACCACCACCTCTCTTCTCCACACTGTGCTTGATTCCAGTTCTGTGTGTGGTGGGGGGAGCTATGCATAGCCTTGATCCAAGGATGGAGCTCTCTCATTGCTGTGTTCAAAGTTAGCGCACAATGATTTAGAGATATGTACTATTCAGATTATCCGTTAATCATGGCGTGACTTAAAGCTACACTAGTTAACTTTTATAAAAGTAACTTTTTGTCATATTTCATTCTAGCACTCATAATGGCATTTGCAAGAATCCACCGGGCCTAAACAAAAACAACCAACCAGAGTCAAGATAAATATAAAGAGGCTTTGGAGGCTTAAAAACTTCATGCCCTGGGAATGAGACTCAACAATCAAGCCCGGTGGATTCTTACAAATGCCATTAGGAACACTAGGAGGAGCCAGAGGAACCTGATTTTTTCACAGATTATCTGTCTCATGTACTGCTCTCAGGATAAAGGAAATGTTTCAGTAAATATGACAAAAAATAAGTTTTATAAAATTACCTACTGCAGCTTTAAATCACCTGATGAACATAATTCAATTCAATTCAATTCAATTCAATTCAATTCAATTCAATTCAATTCAATTCAATTCAATTTTATTTGTATAGCGTCAATTCATAACAGAAGTTATCTCAGGACACTTTTCAAATAGAGCAGGTCTAGACCGAACTCCTTATAACATTATTTACAGAGACCCAACAGTACCACCATGAGCACTTGGCGACAAGGGCAAGGAAAAACTGCCTGTTAAAAGGCAGAAACCTAGGACAGATCCTCCGGCTCTAGGTGGGTGGTCGTCTGTCTCGACCAGTTGGGGTGAGAGAGAGAGAGAGAGAGACAGAGAGAGAGAGAGCGAGAGACAGACAGACAGACAGGTACACAGCAACAACAGTATTGGCAATGGCAATCTAGCAGGACCATGGCAGGAGGCTCCACCAGGATCGACAAGAACCTGCGAGACGAGAAAGCACAAGAACTCCGGGGAAGAAGTGAAGTTAGTAACATGCATTAATGGAACATGAATGAGTGCAGAAAGAGAGAGGAAGAGAGGAGCTCAGTGCACCATGGGAAATCCCCCGATAGTCTAGGCCTATAGCAGCATAACTAAGGGATGGTTCAGGACTCACCTGATCCAGCCCTAACTATAAGCTTTATCAAAGAGGAATGTCTTAAGCCTACTCTTGAATGTGGTGAGGGTGTCTGCCTCCCGAACCACAACTGGAAGCTGGTTCCACAGGAGAGGAGCTTGGTAACTGAAGGCTCTGGCTCCTGTTCTACTTTTAGAGACTATAGGAACCACAAGTAGCCCAGCATTCAGAGAACGTAGTGTTCTAGTGGGGTAATAGGGTACTATGAGCTCTTTAAGATATGAAGGGGCCTGACCATGAAGAGCTTTATAGGTGAGGAGGAGGATTTTAAATTATATTCTGCATTTTACAGGGAGCCAATGCAGAGAAGCAGAGAAGCTAGTACAGGATGACATATACATAACAATACTTACTGTAGGTCAGTCAGTACTGCCATCCTTATTTGCTTTAGTTTGTCCCTTGCTTTTACACACTACAGTGTGTGGGATCACAGATGTGTTGCAACATTCCACTATATAGAGTGAAGTTTACATTTTACATGTCCTCTTCTTGTGGATTTGGGCAGTCCAATCAATATTCAGGATCACAAACAAAAACAAGCCAATAAAACCCTGGGGCTTCTCCACAGGCTGTAAACTGGTAAGATGATTGCATGGACATTCACAGGTCAGCAGCAGACAGGGGCCCCTCATCATCAGATAAACTAAAGACATTTTTGTAATGAAACAGAAGTATTTTAATTCTATCTCACAGTTGGTCCCTCCAGGAAGTTGCAATACAAATTCTGCGCAACTTTGCAATTTTGTCCAATCACCGCAAGTCTTCCACAAATTTGTAGTTTTGTGCAAAACATTCACCCAAATAGTAGTGATTTTATTTTCACTGGAACAAGTTGCCTTTGATTTCTAATGAATTATACAAAACAAATTGCAACAATTTTAGCAATTTTCCCTTTCATCATGCAGCCAAATTTTTCACATTTTAATTTCAATCCCCAAAAAGCCTGCAAAATCCTGGAGGGACTCGTATGTCTTTTTGTCCTGAGTGACCTGACTTACCCTCACATAATTAAGTGTAGAGCATTTTAGGCAACTTGTGGATGATAATAATCTCTGTGTGACAGTCTGACAATCTGATATATTGATTCGAATGGTTGGTTCACTTAAATTGCCAAAAAAAAGATCTTGTTTTTAGGAATTGAGAAGATCTGAGCAAGACAAAAAATTCCATTCACCTCCATTGTATTGGGAAAATCTAAAACAGACGTTAAAATCTGGACACATGAAACCAAAACTGTTTGTATAACAAGATATCACCAGATAAGTGAGAAAATTGTTTTTTTTGGGGGGGATAATGTCACCTAAATTTATGTTAATTAGAGTCTGTGTAAGATTTTTTACAAATGCACAGTATATTCATCACTCCTAAAACATTTTACAAAGACAGGTTTACCCAGCAGATTTTTGGATTATAACAAGCAAAATACTATTATTATTTCTCAAGTCATGGGCCAGTCAGGACAGCAAATTTGTGTAAGTGTTTTTTTTCTGTTTAGGGGCCAGTATACGCGATCAGCTCTGATGTCAAATTAGGGCCGTTGTGTCTGACCAGTTCTGTCACTTTCCACACCCTGCCATGATTGGCCAGATGTGCAGAGGTGAGAAATAGGATGGGTTTCAGTTTCTCTTCATTTTACTGTATGGACCTGTTTATACTTGGTAATAACATTGGTCTTGGGTGATCTGATCACCAGTGGACAGCCTTAACTACAGATGTGAATGCACCCAAGACGTACTGAAGATGAACTGAGATCTGACCACTATGGAGGTGAACGTATAGAGCAAAGAAGTGAGAACTGACGTACTTAGAGCTGTCCACCTGTGATCGATCACCCAAGACACATGTTAATTCCAGGTATAAACTGGGTCTATTTCTTAGATGTGGGAGCAGAAAGATGACAACAGAGCCCCTGACTACCCAAACCAACCTCAGAATATAATTCCCCTAAAAGCCAACAGAGCGAGGTCAGGTAGATGACTGACTTCGGCTCTTACAGTATGATGCGATTCAGGGCATGATTGATTATCTTTTTGTCCACAGGGCTCAGTAAAATCCACAAGCAAACCAGCCAAACTTGTCGCCCAGCTTGTTCATCCATAGCAGATTCATTTAAGATCAGAATCAGAAATGTTACACCATTCCACTGGAACGTGTTTGGCATCAAACATGAATTATCACTGAAGCAGACCGGCTCACATTTTCAGATTGTATTTCCTTCTGTAGCAGCAAAAAGAAGGCGTATATCTCCATTAATGTCCATTCCAACTGGAAATAAATACCATTTTCCAAGTTATGTGGCCTGCTGAGTTCCTACCATGTATACGGTGTAAAGTTAAAAGAAATCTATGGGGTAAAATCCCCCAGTAAAAGCTGTGTAATGATGGTTATATGCATGTTACAGATACTTAACTATAGGAAGAATTTTGTTCTTTTTTTGCCTCAGAGCTATATAGAAATGATACTCCTATAGATTAAATATAGCAGTCATATAAATAAAACTGTAAATTCACAAATATTCTTTTTTTTTTTGGTTCCCTTTTGATTTTGGATTTGTTTATTGTATGCATTCAATTCAGTACTATGTACTCTCTTCTTTATGTAAATACAAAAGTCCTTCTACAGTAGCTCACTGTACAGTATGGCAACAACACAGTGCCAAAAAGGACTATTGGTCTGTTCTTTCTCTCTCATGACATCAATGTCAGGCTTTTCTGATATGGGTTTAACCAAAAAGGCTGTGTGTATAGTCCTCTACTTAAGTAAAAAATGTTTATTTGTACAGAAACTCAGTACTGGTTTTTTTTTGTTCTTTAAAAAAAATAAAACTTTGAATGGAGATACACAGAGAGGTACCATTTTTATTCCTGATAGACAGACAGAGTTCCTTTTTTGTCACTTTAACATCCTGCTCAACTGTTTGGTAGAACACATTTTTAGTCACTATAGCTATCCGAAAAATGTGTAGAACTCAATTGATAGAGCTACTATGGAAGCCCATTTCTGCCAATTTGATGGGGGGGGAGTTCTCTAAACATTACAATGAGAAACTTTCTCAAAACTTAGCATCTCAAAAGGATGACTTAGTATTACAAAGTCATTATTTTGAGATACTAAGTCAAAATATTGAGAAAGTCTCTCATTATAATGACTTAAAGAATCCTTTTTTACTTTCTGGGGGAAGGCTTCCATAGACATCTCTACCACTAATGGTGCATTCGTTTTGTCTTGTAATCGCGACTTGCAGCTCGAGAGCGACGTCACATCCGTGTTTGAAAACGAGTAACCGCAGGTTTTTGCGTTCTGCTTGGCCACACAACACGACGAGCTTGGTTGCAATAGGCAGTTTGGACGTTTCGTAACGTTTATAGTGATTATCTGGTTTACGGTGCACCCACTGCGGATTTCACATGTTCATTACATATTACACAATCATATCACACAGTTTGATATCTGAATATTCCGTTTTGATTAACGTTAACGTGGCTACTGCTCTGCTTTCTTCTCAAGACTCGGCATTGTTGTCAT